TGCGGCGCTGGGGGCGGGGCGTTCAGGTGGCGTGGTGCTGGGGAGCGGGGATTTCGGCGGCTCTCTTCTTTTTTGCCTGGGGCAGCAAAAAAGTTAGAGCCAGCCCTGCACATGTCCATAGTCCCGTCCCACAGATGGTTCCTCTGCTTTGTGGTCAGCACTCACTAGGAAGTGTCAGCAGTTCTCTTCTTCCTGAATCACAGCCTGAGCTCGCTTGCAGACACCTTTCTTCTCCTTTGGAAGGGGCACCTGCTGTATCCATTCTCACCCTTCTCGCTTGTACACAAGGATCTGCTGAAGGTCTGAAGAGAGGGAGCATCAATGGTCTTGATAGCGCCAGCATTGCCATGTTAACACTGGTTCACCACGCTTCTAGACCTGTCGGTGGAACACCTATAACACTGCTCCTGGTCCTGGACTTGATCATGCAGAATCATAGCTGCCTCCAGCATCCCAATCTAGAGACTCTGCACCTCACAGCATGGAAACTCCATGGCTAACCCCTTTGGAGCTTGCATGTTCAGACTCCGTTAGGGAGGTTCTCCTTGGCAGCAGGAAACCATCCACTCGAGCCACTTATCTGGCTAAGTGGAAGAGATTCTCAATCTGGTCTCTGCAAAGAGACACTCCGCCATTACAGTCATCGATTCCTTTCATTCTGGACTATTTACTGCACCTGAAACAGCAAGGCCTGGCAGTGTCGTCAATAAAGTTGCACCTGGCCACCATCTCAGCTTTTCATCCCAGTTCTGCTGGCCGGTCAGTATTCGCTAACCCCATGGTTGGTGCTTCCTCAAAGGACTAGATTAGGGGTTCTCAAACTTCATTGCATTGCAACCCCCTTCTGACAACAAAAATTACTACATGACCCCAGGAAGGGGGACCAAAGCCTGAGCCCACCAACCAGGTGAGATGGGGGCAAAGCCTAAGCTCAACCCCAGGCTCGGGGGCCAAAGCCAAACCCCAAGGGCTTCAGCCTCAGACAGGGGAACTGTAACCTGAGCCCCCCTGCCCAGGGCTGAAGATGAAGCCTGACCCCGCCGCCCAGGCCCACACGAATCAGAACATTTTCTTCCAGTGATCTTCCCTAAGCCATATGCTAGTTAAACCAGAAACAGGTGCTCCACTACCTGGATGTCAGATGAGTGTTAGCTTTTTACATTGAAAGGATGAAGCCATTTTGAAAGTCGACACAGCTCTTCATTGCAATTGCTAAGCGGATGAGGAGGCTCCCAGTGTCCTCCCAAGGGATCTTGTCATGGATCACGGCCTGTATCAGGGCGTGCTACAACCTAGCAAAGATACCTGCCACAGCCTTGACTGCACACTCCACAAGGATGCAGGCATCCTCAGTGGCGTTCCTGGCACAGCTCCCCATTCAGGGCATCTGCAGGGCAGCAACATGGTCATCAATCCACACCTTTACGTCGACTACGCCATTACTCAGCAGGCTAGAGACGATACAGCATTTGGCGGTGCTGCAGTCTGCGACTGGGTGAACGCCGACCCCTCCTCCTGGGAATTGCTTGCGAGTCACCAACTTGGAGTCAACATGAGCAAGCACTTGAAGAAGGAAAAATGGTTACCTATCTTTCATAACTGTTGTTCTTCAAGGTGTGTTGCTCATGTCCATTCCAAGACCCACCCGCCTCCCCTCTGTCAAAGTATTCAGGCAGCGGGTCAGCAGCGACCTATATACATTCCCATGAAGGCGCATCTCCAGGGGGTTCCACAGCCAACCCGACAGGTACTGCTAGGGGAAAAACCTACCAACAACTGCACGTGGCGTGCTCACACCTACTTGGAATGGACATGAGGGGGGCAGGGATAGCTCAGTGGTTTGAGCATTGGCCTGCTAAACCCCGGGTTGTGAGTTCAATCCTTGAGGGGGCCATTTAGGGATCTGGGACAAAAATCTGTCTGGGGATTGGTCCTGCTTTGAGCAGGGGGTTGGACTAGATGATCTCCTGAGGTCCCTTCCAACCCTGATATTCTATGAGCAACACATCTCAAAGAACAAAAGGTAGGTTACCATTTCTCTCAACTTTTCCAGACTACTGTACCCCTTTCAGGAGACTGATTTTTCTTGCATACCACCAAGTTTCACCTCACTTAAAAACTACTTGCTTACAAAATCAGACATAAAAATACAAAAATGTCTCAGCACACTATTACAGAAAAACTGCTTACTTTCTCATTTTATCTGTATGAAGTTTTAGTTTGTACTGACTTTGTTAGTTCTTTTTATGTAGCCTGTTGTAAAATTAGGCAAATATCTAGATGAGTGAATTGATGTATCCCCTCTGGAAGACCTCTGTGTACCCCCAGGAGTATACGTGCCCCTGGTTGAGAACCACTGTGCTAGATAGCTCATAGAAAAGTCCTTTCCTCTGAAGAACATTCAATCTAAGGTGAAAACAATGGGGGTCCACCAACATGTATCTTACTGCATAGTGAGGACCTAGATGGTGGAGTTGACAGACAAGTGGGGATGATATCAGGAGCAACTGTGTGACCTGTGTACAGGAGGTCTTAAAACATAAGGTCCAATTAGTTGATCTAATAGTTCCTTCTGTCCTTAATATTGATGAATCTATGAAAGTTGGTAGAATGTATTGATTCCCAAAATACAGTAACATGCAAAGGGATGTGTTTAGAGGTCGACTGGGGGTGCTATGAGGATAAAGAACATTTAGTGAAATAGCAGTATATAGAGATAAATGAAGCAAGAAATTTAAAGGGATGAACATTTAAGTCTTTAAAGAGTTAATGTTAATAAGGACATTCAAGGGTGGCATAACAAGGGTAAGTAAGGCTACAAAATGGACTTAGGAGGCCTTTTCAGTGCTGATGTTTGTTATTCCCCTTTGCTGACAAAAGAGAGGGGGATTTTTCATAGGCATTCGGTAACAAACCTCCAACCTACACTTCTTCAGGCACCAGAGGGTTCATGTTACACAGTTACCTTCAGATAAGCTAGCTCTAACATACCCTCTATGTCTAGCTATCTTTTTACAAAAGTATCCATGGCCATTGGTCTTAAAGAAGACTTTAAAGTTGTAAAGTTTATCTTTTTTCCTCTTTTCTGTCACATAAAACTTGCTTTTATTTTATTTCTCAAGGAGTGGTTTATTGAAAAAGTGATGCTGAATTTTCCAATCTGCTGTCTCAGAGAGGTATAAAATCCAAGTGAGATCCATGAAATTTAAAACCTGGCTACAGTCAGAAAACAGAAACAAAACCCAAGTGCTTCTCTTACTATTTTATAAGCATTTCAGAGCATGTGGAAAACATACTTTGAAAAGATTAAGGATTTGAAATCTGCTTTGTCAAAGGAATTTTATCAGTTGGTATCCCTAAGGAGACTAGTTACAGGCTCATTAAATGTACTGGAACATATTGAAGAAAACTGTTTCTTCATGTGGAAAGCATCCTATAGATTTTAAAAGTTAGGGAGTAAAGGCTTTACCATATCTTCTTTTTACTTCAGACAATAGTGAAGATGGTATAAAGGGACATCTTTCTTAAATGATGTTCTGTTCTCTGTGAGGAATTAAGTACTGTATAATACAGCTGGTATAAACAAGTCTGTCTGTGTATTTTATTAAAGCTTAATAACATGTCTTTTCCCCATCAGTGGTGTAGAACAGGATATTGTATACTACTATATTTTTTTAATTGACCTCGCTATATTTTTTCCTTATAAATGTGACTGTTGGGGTTATGTTCTTATAATACTCTTTATTTTTTCCAGACCAGGGAAAAAATAATTTGCATGTAACATCATTAGACGATGCGGAATGTCTTCAATCTAAAGAACTCCTTGCAACTGGAAACAATAATACTTCCAATCCAAAGCCTACCCGCAACATCCCTCGCAGACATACTGTAGGTGGACCTCGCAGTTCCAAAGAAATACTGGGAATGCAGACATCAGAAATGGACAGAAAGAGAGAGGCTTTTCTGGAGCATCTGAAACAGAAATATCCCCATCATGCTACAGCAATAATGGGACACCAAGAAAGGCTGAGAGATCAGGTATGAAAACAAAGTAATTTATTGGTTTTTGTTTAAAAAAAAAAAGTATTTCTAACTTTTATAAAATTCAATGTTAAATGGTTAGAAAAAATGGGAACGTAGCAGACCCTAAACAAATGTAATTGGATGAGCTTTGTTGTTTTGTTTTTAGATTTTTTTGAAGGGGAAGAGTATGAATATTTGATGCCATTTTTGTGCCAGTTCACCGTATATTTCAGTTAACCGTATATACTCGATCATAAGCCAGTTTGTTTATAAGCCGACCTCCCCAAGATGGATAAGTAAAAATGGAAAAATTTTATGACCCGTTCATGAGCCAACCCAATAATTCAGGAGTCAGCAAACTTTGGCTCCTGGGCCTTCAGGATAAGCCGCTGGCGGGCCGAGATGGTTTGTTTACCTCGAGCGTCCGCAGGCACGGAGGTAAACCTAAGTAAACAAAGTGTCCCCACGTGCCAGCTGCTTACCCTGATGGGCCGGGACAGCAACTGGTGGGGAAATTTTTTGGGGGGAGAAGCTGGGAGTCAGGGGAGTAACCCCTGTGACCATCCCCCACATGACCCCACCCCTACCCCGGGACCCTCACACTCTCCCCATCCCTTCCCTTCCCACCTTATCTGGGGAGGGCCAGGGGAGAATGTCTCTGGCCTGGCTGGAGCTGCTCCGGCAGGCTGGGCAGCGTGGCCACAACCTGCTCCGGCAGGCCAGACTGGGCGGCGCAGCCGCAGCATGTTCCAGCAGGATGGGCCAGGCAGCATGGCCGCAGTGTGCTCCGGTGGGCCAGGCGGCGTGGCCACAGCCTGCTCTTGGGGGCGGGGCCGAGCGGCACGGCTGCAGCTGCTTTGGAGGCTGGGGGGAGAGCAGCGTGGCCAGAAGAGACTCTGGCCCCGCCTTTTCCCTTCTGGCTGTGCTGCCTCTCCTTGCTCCCTCTATTGGGGGGAGGGGCTGTGTCCCACCTCTCCCTCTCTATACCTGTTCATAAACCAACCCCCTTCTCTGGTGCTTCCCTTTTTTACTAAAAAAAATTCAGCTTATGAACGAGTATATACGGTACTAGTTTTCTGAAGAGTTTATATATTAGAGTCTGGTATAGGGTTACCATATTTTGTGCCTCCAAATGGAGGACACTCCCCGGGGCCCCGGCCCCC